GCTCTGCATAAGATATTACTGAAGTATTACAGGCGACTATAGTCAGTCAGCATAATATGAGTGACTATAGTCACTCTGCATAAGATGTCACTGAAGTATTACAGGCAACTATAGTCAGTCTGCATAAGATACCACTGATGGGCGACTATAGTTTCTCTGCATAAGATGCCGCGTATTATACGATATGACGATTGGAGTTATTGCATCGAGTATTTTTCTCTGGAAATTTAGCATCAATATTTTGTTTTTATCATCAATTTTTCTTTTTTCAAAACAACTCGAGTTGTAGTAAAGCGTAAACACGGTCGCTGACGATCTTTCTCGAGTAGTGTGCATATTTTTGGCGCGCGGCTCGTTGAGTGGAAATTATCCGTTAAGAAAGAGTTAATTTTGCTTTGATTTTTAAGACGTAACGTGTATCCGTTTCCAGAGTATTTGTGCCACGGGACTTGGATCGAGAACGACACAGCTTATCTAGTGGCCAGCACCGACGTGGGACGATATTGTCTCGTTTACAGTGCGTCCGCAGCGGCGACGGGAAATCGCGAGCTCTCGGTGACGGGCCACCTTGCCTCCTGTCCCAGAGCACCTCACCGTCATCTCGTGTCGTGGCAGGTCAACCTCACGTCGTACGGTGGGTATTATCCGCGATATAATTGCATATTTATCTCAATTGGAAGTTGAAGAGAAGTTTGAAAAATTTGGAGGTAAATTCGATGATTGGAGAGTAAAATTTAAGATTTAAAATTTGGAACTTAGAAATGGATCTTGGAAACTTTGGTGACTAGAAAATTGTATGCATGATTGGAATAATTTAGAATTTGAAACTTAAGAAAATTAAAATTTTGGAAATTTTGAGGATTAGAAAATTGTATACACGATTAATTGTAGAGCAAAATAATCTTGGGAACTTTGAGATTGCGCAACAAGATTGAATTGAAAATTCAAAACTTGTAACTTAAGAAAGAAGTTCTTTGAGGACCAGAAAATTATATGCGTGATTAAAAATTTAGAAATTTTAAGGATTAGAAAATTGTATATATGAAAGATCAAAAAATTATAATTAATTATATTGAAGTAATTAAAAGTTTAGAATTTGAAACTTAGAAAATCATAATAAAATTAATAATACAAAGGATCGTGCCAATCGTCATTAGGACAGAAAGCAATAAAGCATTTCGGTCACGGTCCATCTCGATCCAAGAATCTAGTATTGTGACAGCTCCATCATTGTTAACGACGTGTCTCGTTTGCTATATTGATCAGATTGTCCAAATCGATCGTCCGCATCAACGGACTAATTAATCAGCTGATTCTCTTTATCTTTCATCGAGTCGAATGAATCTGAGGCAGTATCGACAGAGAGATCCTAAAGGAATCGAGGATTTCTATGAGAGCTTGAAAGAACGAGGGATGGAAGATTTCGCTTGCACCTTGAATAGAATTTTTTTTAACGAGAGCTTCATAGATTTAGAACGGAGTATAATGCCTTTCTAAACCGATTAGTTTAATTGAAATTCGGGTTTGAAAAAGGGAGAGAAATTCGAACGTTCAAACGAGATCGAATTTTTTTCAAATTGGAAGATTGGATGTCGAAGGATTATTAAAAATTATTAAATCAGAAATTAGAAGACTTTCTATGATCGAAACTGTTGAAAAATGAGATTTCGTTGAAAAAAAAAAAAAGAAATTATTATAACAAAAAAAAGAAAATAATTCTGATTGAAATTTATTCTTCCAGCTCAATGCGGCGATATCTCGACGGCCACGTCGTGGACCTTCCGGATTTCCGCCTCTGTTTACATCCTGGCTGTATTGGGCACCCTGTTCGGCAGGTATATCGCGAGGTGATATCACTGAGTGAAGAAACCAGGCCACGAGTCGGCCGTGTAGTCTAATCTACACAAACTCGAGTCGTCAGCACAGCAACTATAAAGCAACAACAACAACAACAACAACAACAAAAAAAGAAGTCTCTATATATATAAATATAAATATAAATATATAAATACAAAATAAAAAAAAATATATATATATATATATAATACACAAAGTATATATATATATTAAGCGGAACGATTTAACGAAGGATCCAGAAGTGTGGATGGGAGAAAGTAACCTAATAATCAAGCATAATTAGCGTGTAAGTGTCCGTGGGTGCGAGTTGTGCAAAGAGAGAGAGAGAGAGAGAGAGAGAGTGAGAGAGAATGAAATAGGAGAGAATGCCGTTGAGAGGCTTCATCTGAATAAAGAATATCGCTGCTGAAGAGAACATGGCGGATCATTGGCTAAAAAGGATGTACATAGAGACACGGTGTACATGTACATAAAATTCACTTAAGGAAGCTTGGTTTTATCGAAGCAGCTGCATCTGGAAATATTATCTTCTGCAAAAGGGGTGAGGAAAAAGCGAGCCCTTTTATTCAGACCAGTAATTACGTAATTGGCTTGGATAATGGGATCTTCGATTTTTTAAATTTGTTTTATATTTATTTTTTTTCTTTTTTTATTTCTTCATTTCAGTTAAATCCTTTCTCTATCTTTTTTGAACATTCGGTTGAATTGCAGTTGGATGAATTATTATATTTATTTCATCTTCTCGAAATAGTTAGTGCAAGGTGATACAAGTTATGTGGATCTTTAATCGCGAATTTTTTTCTAGAAAACCGACCTGTTCTGTTCCTAAATTTTCCGAACAACCAACCACCCCTATTCGCTCGCAATTAACCTTCGCTAATTAAGAAAGCTTTCCTGGACCAGTTTCGCGCGCAAACAAAACCGGGGGGAAAAACCAATTTAGCAAAAACAAGGAAAGTAAAAAAGAAAGAAAGATACAACAATGGAAAAAGGAAAAACTAATCAAAAAAAAAAAAAAAAAAAAAAAAAAAAAAAAAGAAAAAAAACGAAACTAAGGGTGCTGGGGCCAATAGTGTGTGCATTTTGAGTGGTGATCGTAGCCCACGTGTGTGAATGAAAGCAAACGAAGAATGAAAAAAATAGAAAAAAAGAGAAAAAAAAAAGGGAGGAAAGCACGCAACGAGCGAAGAAAGGAACACGACGGGCGGACAGAGGAAATCGAGCGAGCGAGAGAGAGAGAGAGAGAGAGAGAGAGAGATAGAAAGAGAGACTTGTAACACTTATTTAGATCCACGACGTGATGTTTCGGAACGTTCTCGAACAAAACTTGTGTTTTGCTCGGAACAGGAAACGTTTCAACTGTAATTGTACGTATTTTAATTAAAGTTCTGCGGCACTAGAGAGAGAAGAAGAAGAGAGAGAGAGAGAGAGAGAGAGAGAGAAGAATGGCGAAATTTTTTTCGCGCGTGTGCGTGTGCAGAAAGTTGAAGGTAAAAGAAAGAAAGAAGGGGAAGGGGGGAAGCGAGAGAAAGAGAGAAAGAGTCAGAATGGAAATGATTATCGTTGTTATATTATATTATCATTGTAATTGTCATCTCTTCTTCTGCGTCTTCTTTTGCTTGCTCTTCTTTCCGCCATCCCTTTTGCTCGCCACCCCACCCCCGATGGAGGCGGTGGCCATCCACTATGTGACTGTGTAAGGAATGGCCACTGTGACACTGCGTTTCGATGAAAAACAGGTGATGAGTTTCCTCGAGATTTGATATTGGTGATCTCCTTGTCACCCTTGGTCGATCCTTACAGTAAAATTCTTTTTCGTGTAACGAAAATCTGATGATAAATAATTAAAGGCACATGATCGGTCAAAGGGTTTGAGTCACGGAAGATGAAATTGAATTTATTAATTTCGACGTAAAACGAATAACAATTCGATAATTGAATTATTATAATTTGATAATCAAATTTATTTGTATATTTTAAACATTTGGATATTAAATTTACGATTCGATCGAACGAGAACGATGTATAAATTCGTGAAAAGAAGAATTGTAATATTGTTTTTTCTTTTTTTTTTTTTTCTTTTTGATCGAGGAAAAATGAAATTGATTTTAAGGGTTGAGTTTAAGGGATGATAAGGATCGCGTGAAATTGTACGTATAAGGATCGTTCGATTCTTTATTTGCTCTGGAATAAGTGTTTCTTTGTCGTAATTTTGATCAAGAAAATAAAAACTTTCTAAAAATTCAAAAGATGAAGATGATAAAAAGCTTGAAAAATTGATGTGAAAATCATACTAAAAAAAAAAAAAAATAAAGAAATAACTGTAAAAAATTAGAAAAATTGAAAATTAAAAAGTCACATCTCTTCTGTGATTAATTTCCTAATAACTCATCATAACTCACATCTAAAAAAAATATATATATATATATATAAATTAATCTTCATTCAAAAGATTAAGACAGTCCATGAATCCCAGAGCAACAAAGGGATCGAATCGATCATGGATTAGACAGAGAGAAAACCAGGACATATCGATAAATTGAGAGAATTCGAACAAGGAATTCAGAGAAGCTGCTAGGTAGCGCTAGGTAATCAATTATCTCGCCAACATCCAGAGGAGTAGTAGACGAAACAGGAAAAACTGAAACAAGGAAAAGAAACCAACTACGAAACACGCCATTTACCAGGAAACGGTGAAAAAGAAAAAAAAAGAAAAAAGAAAGAAAGGAAGGAAGGAAAAAAAAGAAAAAGAATTCAAAAGATCTCGAGAGAGTAGACAGAGATATTTTTCACCTGAAACTATTTTAATTGAGAGACTGTGCTGATAACTGTGCGAAAAAGTGACAGTAACTCGATCGCGTAAAATTACTCGATTCGCTATACATAATTGAATAATTGGATATACATATTATAAATACGAGTATAAATATGAAATATAAATACTATAAATATTATACATACGTTATATATATATATATATATAAATACACGAGGACAATTCGATGTTGGCTATAAACTTGTAAACTATTAGATAGATAAAAAAAGAAGAAAAGAATAAAAGAAATCGAGTGTCTGACAAGGAGATGATGGGAGGATGTCCTAGGCGAACAGATTTTTATACTAGTCGAGACATTTCGACGATTTTGGTGTCATTGTTTAACCATTTGTAAATTGTATTGTACAATTGGTCAGTGTGATAAATATAAAGATCGTGGAGATTTTTTTTTTTTTTTTATTAAACGAGTCGTTAAACTTGAGACTTGTCAAGTTTTGATTTTCTACTTGTTTAACTTGAAACTTATTGTGATTTATTTATTAATTTGGAATTGACAATTTTTTTATTTAAATTAAATTTACTTTTGCGTAGATATTTCAAATTAGTTTTTAAGTTCTGTATATAATTTATTAATTTAATTACGTATCTAAATAATTCATCAGTCCGATTCTTTTAATTTAATTCCAATTCTCAGTTTTCTAGGATTATATGAATTTATATGAATTTCTCACAACATTATTCACATTTGTAACACGTATCGATTTAAATAAATCACATTCAATTTAATCAATCTCTCGTGAAATTTACTTCAGTCAATTCCAAAAAATTAGCAAACGATGAAAAGTAAAATAACTTTTTTCAAAGTTTCATATTGTGATAATCAAATATACTGACACAAAAGCGTCGAAGTGTTATAAAGAAATATCATCAATCAGATTCATCCTCGGTTTACGCCAGACACACGAGAAGAATCGATTAGAAAATCACGAAACCGAGGGATTTAAAGCATAAAAGATCCTCTACCGTGTGTCGAGTTAGAGAAAGGAAACACACGACACACATTCCGCCATTTTCATTCTCCCAATCGCGAAAGAAGAAAGCGAGACACGGTTCCAATCTTTTATTCTTCGCGAGAAAAAAAAAGGGGGGGAGGGGGAAAGGAAACGAAGAGAACGAGTTTTTTCTGTAAATAGTAGCTTTAACGCGATTTTTCACATAAGAGAAAGAAAGAAAAAAAAAAAACAAAGAAGAGATGAAAATTGAAGAAATTACGAAGGAGGACGAAAAGAAGAAGACGATGAGTGGAGAGAAAGAGAAATCTTTTTTTCTGTAAAAAGTAAGAAACGGAGAAAGGGACGAGGAAGGGAAGAAATGAAAAAGGAACAATTAGAAAGATTCGTGGAGAATGTGGTTTTATATAGAATGCGAGAGTGTAGATTTCAGGGTATTTATATCGAGGGTTAAATAGTTAAATATACGAGAAAAAAATATTTAAATATAAATTATATTATAAATATAAATATATACATATATATTTGGGAGAATATAAATATGTGTAATTATATATTTATATCCTCTCGATATATAAATATATATATATATATATATATACTATGTTTTTATTGTTGTGAAGTTACTGAAAAATGGTCGACGAGCGCGAATTCGTTGGCTCTCTCATGTTTCATCGAAAAATGATTTTCTCTCGATTGTCATCTTTCTATTTCGAACGAATCACTGGTAACGAATTAAAAAAATAATGAAATGGATTTTTTCATAATCTCCATCGTCTAAACTTTTTAGAAAATTCTTTTTTATCATCAGATGATAATGTCATATTTAAATTTTTCCTTCGATACTTTTGAATTCCAAACATAGATGGAACAAATCTATTTGCATAAATACTATTTTAAATAGCTATCCAAGAGGATTCTTTCTCAGTATCAGGAAACACAGATTTTATAGCTCTTCAAAGTTCCTGAGAGATCGGTGAGTATTTGATCTCTCGAGTGGCGCTAGAAACGGTTTCATTTCACGTTCAAAACTCTTGAGAGGAGAACAAATCTCTGGTCTCTGGTGTTCTAATCGACAGTTTCCAGCGCTGCGATGATTTTCGTGAGCTTCACTTCGAAATTTTCGTTTCCGATATTCTTGGAAAAAATTCCATTTCTTATTTCGATATTATCAATACTTTAATTCGTGACGATTATTCAAGATAATATTTTCTGATGAAATTATGTAAATAGTAAATGAAATTGCAATGATCCTTGGACGACAAAGAGAGGATGACGTTCGATGAAATAATGATTCTGTTCCGAGACGAATGCGACA